CCAAACATGATCAGTTTTACCAGGGATGAACTGCTGAACATTCGGCAGAACACACCACAAAATCTTCTGCCAGTTTTCGATTATTTGGACGTTTTGCTGAACATTGTAGTTGGCAGAGCAGCGGCACTGATCAAACGCTTCAGGACGTGCAGACGGGGGAAGAGAGCCGGCGTGCTCGTGAAGCTCAGACAGCGCGGATTTTGAACGCCGTTGCCTAGCATCCATCTGGCGAAGTTTCGGTGCCATACCTGAGCGATCGACTGAAATATTTGTCCTCTGGTTCTCCGAAACAGACGTAAGAAGCATCATCACCGGCACCGCACGTGAAAAATTATTTCCTGACTGCACGTGAACTCTAGTCGGAAAGCTCTAATAATGTGGATTTTCTGTGCGAGGGCGCCCTCTGGCGTCCAGTATGAATGAAACAGACATCATGTGTTTATAGTGCTAAAGGTCAATCCATAATGTTTTGGGGAATTTATATTTATTTATTTATTTTTTAATAAGTATCGGTTTAGGCACCGGAACCGTTTTAAAAGTATCGATTTGGCACCGGTATCGAAAAAAACCCAAACGATACCCAACCCTAGTGCAGTCTTAACAACCTGGAGCTCAACACGCTCAAAACAATGGAGATGATAGTGGACTTCAGGAGGAACCCCCCTGCACTCCCCCCACTCACCATCATGAACAGCACTGTGGCTGCAGTGGAGTCATTCAGGTTCCTGGGCACCACCATCTCCCAGGACCTGAAGTGGGACACTCACATAGACTCCATTGTGAAAAAGGCCCAGCAGAGGCTGTACTTCCTTCACCAGCTGAGGAAGTTCAACCTGCCACAGGAGCAGCTCACCGAGTTCTACTCGGCCGTCATTGAGTCTGTCCTGTGTTCATCTATAACTGTTTGGTTTGTCTCAGCTACCAAATCAGGCATCAGAAGACTACAACGGACAATCAGGACTGCTGAGCTACCAAATCTGACCTCAGAAGACTACAGAGGGTAGTCCGGACTGCTGAGCGAATCACTGGTACAACCCTCCCTTCTCTCCAACAACTGTACTTATCCAGAGTGAGCAAAAGGGCTGGCAAAATCACTCTGGACCCCTCACATCCAGCACACTCCCTCTTTGAACTGTTGCCATCTGGTCGACGCTACAGAGTACTGCGCACTAGAACGGCCAGACACAGGAACAGTTTCTTCCCTCAGGCAATCTATCTCATGAACACTTGACAATAAACGTGCAACACACAACACTATTATACATTTATTTATTTAACACACATACTTTTTTTTTTCAGCAAAGGCCACAGTTAGGATGAATACCTTGTAGAGGATGACGAGGAGGGCTCTAAGCCACATCTGTCTAGTGTGAGGTTTGAGGGCCCAGAGCGAGCAGCGTGGCGGCTCCTGGAAGTTGGGCCTCAGCTGCGGACACGTGCAGTACTTCAGTACCTGCACCACCAGCGGCAGCAGATGTTTGCCCAGACCGATGTTATAGTCCATCACCTGAGGAGACAAAACAATCCGTCAGGAACACCATCACGCTCCTCACAAAGAGTCGAGCGCACAGGGCTGAGCTCACCTGAGCGATTCCTGCGATGAAGGCGTTGAAGCAGGTGGAGGAGCGCATTTTCTGAGGGGTGATCATGAAGCATCCCATCTGCTGATCGTATCCCAGCAGGACGTAGAGATGCCGCTTGACAGTGTTGAAGGCTTTGGCGCTGCCGATGTCTGCCTCTGCGCTGCTTTTGTCTTTGGCCATGAACTTCATGAGCACCATGATGAGCTGATGGACGGTCTGGTGGTCTATGCCTGCGTCCTCCGGCAGCAGATCCTTAATGACGGAGTCGTCCTCTGGAGGAGAGCTCTCTCCTGCACGGTAACAAGGTGTGGCGTTGTTAGTCTCCTCTACAGATGCTCTACAATGTTGCTATTTGAGCATAAAAAAGATCTGCAAGTTTACAAAGCTCAAAGTCCACTCCAAAGGGAGATATTCTCTTAACAGAAACAGAAACAGAAACCTCAATTCAAGAACTACAACAAACGGCTCATTCTTCTAGATATTATGTAGTCACAAAGTCACTAATTTAAATGATCCCTGTCCACAGGCGAGGCCTGGTTGAGCTGCGCTAGAATAGCTGAAGAAGAAGAGCTGCTTTAGTGAGATAGTGTCCGGCTGCAGCCCCGCAGCGCCTCATGATCACCCGTTTCAGGCTGGAAGTGAGGGGTGAAGTTATTAAAACATAACAACATAGTGGAGCGCATGTGAGTTGTCTGTAATGTTTCTGTCATTATCTGGTGAACAATTAAAATTGTTGTCATCTTATATATTTTTCAGTATTTTTCTGCGGACAGTTCTATTACATTTTAGGTTGGGTGTTCTAACTGGGCTTTGTGATGTAGCCACTTTATGTTTAGATTTTTTTTTTTTCATATATTTAATGCTTTGTTCTAATTCTATTACATTTATTGTTTGTGGGTTTATGTTATGTTACTCTACAGTGTATTTCCAGAATACAGGGCCAGCCAACCAATCAGAGCACATTTTGTATTTTGGAAAGAGGGCCTTCATTGAAACAGGAACTAAACAGAGCGTTTGAGACCGAACGGGAAGAGAGCTGCTGCAATAATATAAAATATGAGAAACATAATTTTTTTGTTTTTGGAAAAATCAAGCATGAAAACCTATTCTAGCACACCCCAAAATCAAGACTTTGTGAAACTGCATAATAGAACCCCTTTAAACTGATGTGTGGGTGACCACACTTGGGGTGATGATTCTGAACTCAACTAAAGTACTGATGAATATAATTATACATAGCAAATGAAGATTAATATACAGCACATGCTGAAAGGAAGAACTGACGCCTAACAGTGTGTCCAAACACCACCATACATGTACAGTATTTTCACTGTTAATGAGTCATGAGTGACCGTCGATGCTGTGCTGCTATGCTTGACGAGGTTAGTGTGCTTTACTTGTCAGGACTTTCTCTAGCATGTTTCCCAGTGAGGGCGCCGACTGCTCTTGTCTTATGAGTCTGAGAGCTGAATCCAGAAAAAAGAGAAACAGAAAGTGAAGGACATCTTTGGTCAATTCAGAGACAAATATTTGAGCAAAACAATCATTCCACTGTTGAGCTCAAGTGTGTGACAGATACTGATGGGATGTTCTCATGCAGGTCAGCAGATTTATGAATCCAGCTGAACTTCAGTCACATGTGATGGAAAAGCAGCACAGCTACAAGAGGTTCAGGTCACTCACGCAGTTTGTTGCACAGTGTCTCCGGGAGGGAGAAAGTGCGTTTGGACCCGGATGAACCCTTGACGCTTTCTCGTAGCGAGCGGACGCTCTTCTGACGGTTGCGGGCGAAGCGAGCACGTCTGATCTTCCACATGGCCGCATCGCTCAGGTTGGCCACATTAGTCCTCACCGCTGTGATCGCTTACAGAGCAAATAAAGACATGATCAACTTGGTGTATAATCAGGTTTTATGAAGGTACATTTAAGACTTTAACACCTTTTCAAGACCAAGTAAAGAAAATGTAAGAATAAATTGAAGGGAACACAAGTCAATATGTCCTCTAAATGTAAATGTCCAGGGGGAACAGTTTGAAAATACATCGTCTAACAGATCTCCATGACTTTACTTTAATAGCTCTGCTTCAAACCACTAGAATATAGAAATAACTGTTACTGTATCTTCTGATCACACTGCAACAAAAGTGCTGTTCTTTCTCAATATTTCTGTCATCTTAATTCAAGATATATTTATTTGAGAAGCAAAATGACTCAAGAAGTCTTGTTTTATGAGAAATGTATCAAAGTGGAGTGAACTTATGATTAAAACAAGAACAAATACCTGCCAGTGGGCTCAGAAAAATCTACTTAACTCAAAGGTAATTCAAGTTTTCATACCTAAAACCTAAGTGACAGATATTTGTTATAAGCATAAATGTAATTATGTTCAGTTTCTCAGAAAGCAAGACTTCATATGTTCATTTTGCATCTCATGCAAATGTATATTGATTTAAGGATGTTTAGATCAGATTTATTTTTTTCAGTTACACTTTATGAATTTAAGACTTTCTGCTCTGAATTGAGACCTTTTTAAGGCTTTAATTTGTGGACGATGAATTGAGACCTGCAGAAAGCCTCTTCATACTCTACACACACTCTATAGACGTGCTGACATGAACAGTTGACTGAAGCACACTCACTGGTAGGAAAAGGAAACTCTTTGTTGCAGTCGAGGTGCAGCTGGGCCTCGAGCGACAGCGTCTCGAAGCGGTTGACGAAGAACTCCCAGCTCAGAGCGGGGATCTCCTGTCGGAGCGAGTGCAGCAGCAGCAGTTTGCTCAGGATGACGGGCCGGTCCCTGACCACCGTGTCAAACTGGAAGTCCAGGCACAGACACAGGCCCTGGTGGAGGACACACAAACACACGTTAGTCCCGGTCCCTTCGTGACGTGACGGGGACACTGGTGCGATCAGGTCTCTGTCACCTGCAGCGCGGGCCGTTTGATGGAGTCCAGCAGCAGGCGCGCTCTGGTGGCCACGGCGGGGTTCACGTCCTCGATGCTGGCCAAGAAGCAGCAGAAAGCGTGAGCCAGAGAATACTTCAGCACGTGGCTCTTAGTGACCGAGCCCATGTCCAGAAACCGGCACAGGACAGCCACGCGCTCCACTGAAAGAGACAGCCAGAAATAATATCATCAAACACGAACAATCATTGATGGTGTCTGATGACATCTACAAATATATAGTTCAGTCATGAAACTCTAGATGGCGCAGGCTGACGGGTTGTTGACGTAACTGATGATATTCAGAGAGTTAAATGACTTGGCACAAGCTGATTGGTTCATGCTGCATATGCAGCCAATGAGCTTACTGCCTTGCATTTATATGGCTGGCTAGCATTCACTAGAGATTCCTGCAGCGCGCTTTCAGAGTTCTCTGAAACCCTCCACCTTCCCCAGCTCCACCTGTATAGATCTGCTACGGGTTATTTTATATGCTATTTGTGCAGCAGCAGCATGTCTTAAATACTCACGGCACCGTATCGCCGTATGCATTGGCAGTAGCAAGTTCCTGTACTTGCTTGCAGCAGCAGCAATAATCTACAACTACAGCAATAACCAACAGCAGCAGCAATTCAGCAGCAGCGTAGCAGATCTGTTCCGCCAAGACCAAATACATTAACATTGTCATATCCATCACCATGCTAAAATCTTCCGAGAGTTGTCATGATTGAACTGTTGTTATCATCAAAATATAGAAAGAGTGTGCTACAAAAAAAGTAACTCATAAATGAAAAACAAGAATCTGCATGGCACTTAAGTGGGCTAATTTATTAAAAATGTTGTTGGCCAATTTTTTTTGGTTTTAAACAGCTTTCCTCCAGGTATAAATCAATTATCCACAGAGACTCATTTGTAATATATAAAAATGATCACATTCATGGTTGTGAGTCTTGCAATTTGTTGTTTTTCATTTAATGCTGTCATCAATTGGCCATCATGACACTAGTGTGCCGTGCCGCTGGGATCGTTCTTCTTTAGCCGGCTGTGGGGCTTTGAGAGATGTGTAACGCTGAACACCTGCTGAGAAATATAAAAGCTTTCTTGGTTCTCTTATGTGATCCCTTTTGGTTCGCTGTTATTTTTGGTTGTTTCTTTGTTGTTCTTTAGGTTAAACTTGTTGGCTTTATGTATTAGTTTAGTTCGGGATTTACTTTGTTTGCAGGCCTGTACATTATGTTGAAAGTTGACTGTATTATTTATTCTTTATCAGTGTTTCCTTTATTGATATGTGTTGTAAAGTTTATTTTCGTTAATTAATATTTCTTTGATCTGCTATTGTTCTCGTCGACGGTGACACTAGTGTGTGTGCTGTGGGTAGATGCAGTGTGGTTTTTAGTGCATTAATATCTGGTTATTATTGTGTTGTAGGTGTTTTCTTCCTGGCAGGTGTTCAAGAGTCCCGTATCCTCGCGTCTCTGTGATCTTCAGGTCTGTAGACCAGGCTCGGGTTCTTCTTCAGTATGCAGCTATGAGATGTTTTACTCAAATCACTATCACTGAATATAAGCACTAATAATAATTTGCAGATTGTCTGTCAGATCCAGTAGTCGCTGCTGACCGTTTTGATTGTTGGTGATTTCAACATTCACATAGATGATGTAGCAAACAGCACTAACTCGTCGTATGGTCACACTGTGAGCAGTAAATGATGAACCCTTTACACAATGCGTCAGTAACAGCCTTTCAATCCTCTTTATCTGCACAGGTCGTGTCTGTGTTTGTGTTTGTCTGACTGTAGCTCAAGGTCACAGCTTCTCTCTCTCAATCACTGTAAGAGGCTCCAGTTAATCCCACAGTGCTCCAGGAGCCCGAGCGCTAATCATGGCAGCAAAGTGTTTTAGGAAATGAACAGAAAGGTGCGGATGTGAATGCAGTCAGACCTGCTTCGAAGCGAATCTTCCAGTCCTGACTGTTGAAGCTGCTGTCGACCAGCCTCCAGAAGATATCTGCACCGTGGGACAGAGCGAGCGCATGCAGGAGCTGCAACACAGCCAGAGACGCCAGCTGACAGAACTCTGACCTCAGCATGGACCACAGGCTGGACACAAACAACAATCAGCCATCTGAATATGAAACGTGCCATTCAGAGAAACACCCCTGACCATAATCTGCCATGATATGATTTTAACTACGTCATGGAGCGTTACGGCAGGTTTGCTGTTATTATGAAGTGGTACCTGGGAATGAGCATCTTCTCCTGTATGTAGGCCAGGAACTGAGGCTGATCTTTCCTGGCATGATACAGGCATTCTCCGTGCAAACACAGGATCTTCAGACAGCTGAGCATGTTGAAGAGGATGTCTGGCTCCTCAAACTTACTCATCTCCTACAAGAAACATCGCAGCAGACTCATGAGAAACATAAACGCCGCACAAGCCTGACTGAACAGAGTGAGATGTTTACCTGCAGAATGGTGTACAGAAGCTTGAGAGAAACAGGAAGCTGTAGGTACGAGAACTTCCTGTCTGCACTATTCTTTAATGCTAGGGAACAGAACACAGAAACAGAAAATGTAATGCACTAATACATGGCTAGTACACAGATCTGTGAACGTATGAATATTTAATGAAAAACAATGCATAAACAATGATTGCTATTGGAAACGGAGCACATACGCGGGATCTCAGGAGAGGGGTTGTGGCTGCCGGGGTTTTCTGACGGAGCGTCTGCTTTATCTGCTCCATTCTCTGATTTAAGATAGTACAAGAGAGGACTGAGTACACATCCCTGTGGGGCACCAGTGCTGAGTGTGAGTGAAGAGGATGTGTGGTTGCCAATTCTAACCACCTGGGGTCTGCCAGCCTTGTTTGAGTTGTTTTTCAGATCTTGTTTGATCTGTTTTTGTTTCTGTTTTGCTTTGTCTGTTTTTGTTGATTAAATCTAGTTTCTCCTGCACTTGGACCCTGACCCTGTTTTTCTACGGTGCTCCCTTACCGCTCTGTGACAGAATTCAGCCAGCCAACATGGGTCCAGCAGGGAAGTTCCTCAACATTCGCCAGGGAGACTGGAGTATTGAGGATTACGCCAGGGACTTCATTGGAGTGACGGAGCCCGCTGATGTTCCCTTCGAGGCGGCGGAGCTCGCTTCAGGCCTTCCCGAAGCGGCGGAGCCCGCTGATGTTCCCTTCGAGGCGGCGGAGCTCATTTCAGGCCTTCCCAAAGCAGCGGAGCCCGCTGATGTTCCCTTCGAGGCGGCGGAGCTCATTTCAGGCCTTCCCAAAGCAGCGGAGCCCGCTGATGTTCCCTTCGAGGCGGCGGTGCTTGCTTCAGGCCTTCCCGAAGCGGCGGTGTCCGCTCACAGCTTCCCCGAGGCAGCGGTGTCCGCTCACAATGCTCCCGTGGCGGCGGTGCCCGCTGATGTTCCCTCCGAGGTGGCGGGGCTCGTTTCAGGCCTTCTCGAAGCGGCGGTGTCCGCTCGCACTTCCTCCAAGGCGGTGGAACTCGCCTCTGGTCTTCCCAAAGCGGCAGTGCTCGCCTCTGGGGTTCCCGAAGCGGCGGAGCCCGCCATTGCCCGTTCCAAGGTGGCAGCTGCACACACACCGCTGGTTCTGCCCTGGGTCCCCATCCCACCGGCTCTGCCTCAGTCCCCAGGTCCCCCTCCAGCACACGGACCTTGGACCCTGACCCTGTTTTTCTACGGTGCTCCCTTACCGCTCCGTGACAATCCTAATCTGGGATGGCCTGAAAGTGAGCACATTTACAGCTAATGTTCATTTTTAGGGTGAACTACTCTTTTAATAATGCTGCGGGCTAATATGACGAGAATGAAATAAGTACTGGATTTGTCAAAGTTAGTGACTCAAAGGTTTGAGTCTGTCACTGTATTTTAAATGTTTTTCTACATTAGTATGATATAATATATCTCAGGTAACCCGTTGGCAGTGATGATGTTGTGACATCCAGTCAAAGTTCTGGCTACACGAGTCGGTGGAAGGGCTTTAAAGTACCATTAGCTCAGTATAAAGACAACAGAGGTCAAGGAAGAGCCAGCGATAGAACAAACGAGTCTCACCACCAGTCGTGTCTCCTCGCGCGGCGTCAGTCTCTGCAGCAGATCACAGGCCAGATGGTAGCACAGGATACTGGACTGACACAGACTGCACTCCAGAGCCTTCTCGTCCTTCTGACAGGTGTGCGAGCCACCCCACGGAGCCTGCAGCACGCTGTTGATGGAGCTCCTAACATGATTTAGGAGAAGTGTTATATTCATAAAATATCATCATGAATAAACACAATAGGCATGTATAAACAGAATTGCGGCTCATCCCTTCCGTCCTTTTCTGCAGTAAAACCTCCCAGTTCAGAGTTTGTGCTCCATCACACACAAGCCAGACTTTTTCCAAAATTCTCTACTACATGAACATGTGTGTGTGTGTGTGTGTGTGTGTGCTTACGTATATATGTATGTGTGTGTGCTTTCATATATATGTATGTGTGTGTGTGTGTGTGTGTGGGTGCGTGTGTGCTTACATATATATGTGTGAGTGTGTGTGTGTGTCTGTGTGTGTGTGTGCTTACGTATATATGTATGTGTGTGTGCTTTCATATATATTACTGTGTGTGTGTGTGTGTGTGTGTGTGTGTGTGTGTGTGTGTGTGTGTGTGTGTGTGTGTGTGTGCGCTCACGTGAAGCCACAGCAGCGCTTGCTCCTGCACTGATGCTGGATATCCACTGAATCTACAGCTGATGAATCCAAACATCTCCTCCATGGAAAAGGGCAGCGGACACAACTCAATGTCAAACATCTTACTGCAAAGAGAAACACAACAAAGAGTGAGACAAAATAATAAATCTGTGCCTCCTCAAAAAAAAAACCCTCTCATCTCAGAGAAGATCAGTGAAACAGCTTTGACTTTGTGAGACACAAAATGAACAGAAACATTGTGTGTAAGAGTGACAGGTGAGCAAACACACTGATATGAAGCTCTTCACTGAGCAGATGGAGACTATGGAAACACTGACAGGTGTCACTATGGCAACACGTGTTATTGGACACAGAGGACACGTGTCTGGTGTGTCATGTACCTGAGGACCTCACGAAACTCCCTGAGCTGATGGTCAGGAACTTCAGTGCGAATCGCCTCCAGCCACTCGGGCATGAAACACTCCCACAGCGGCTGACTGATCACGTTATAGGGGATCAAACACAGGATGCGGTTCAGTCCTTCCTTCAGCTGCGTCACCGTGCTGCACGACTTATCCCAGTAAGCGCCCACCTGCGCAAGCGCAAACACACACACACACACACACACACACACACACACACT